GGCTTTTGACTAGTCTCTCTTTGAATCATCGATGTCATTAAAGGGGCATGCATCACTGCACTCCGCCATCCCCCGACATTCTCCCTCAGTTTCCATGTTCAGTCCACTAGCACTTCGGGTCGTGTGTTTGCTTGTGTGTGTGTTTGCTTGTGTGCGCGTCTCTTCCACTTGTTTGTGCATGAATTCTCCCACAGTTGTACTCCTTACTTGATCAATCACCAAACAACTCCCATAGTTCTGCTCTCATTTAGCCTTTCAGATAGCTGTGCTCTCCTCTTGTCTGATAAGTCGTCTTGCATAGCTTCTCGGATAGCTGTGCTAACCCAGAAGCTATGCAGTTGCTATAACGGTGTTATAACAGTTACAAGGAAAATGATAGGCTTGCTAACTAGAACGTAAGACCAACGATGCTGATCCAAGGATGACTCCACTCGTTCTCTAGGTTGGAATAAAGGTGTGTAGTAATGGCCCCCTTCAAGGTAGGCAAAATTACAAAACCGAGAAATGTATGAAGAACCTTCACAGCGCGTATAAAATCAAACGCCTAAATTATACTCCTTAAAGTAGGCAGAAAGATTTATCATAATCTGTACCTGGAAGACTGACTGATTCCAAACCTACCCGCTGAAATCACTATATATGACAAGAGGCCTGGCAGACTGTGCAAGATTCCTTCGATGAAAATCAGGTGTCGGGGAACGCTTTCTGCCTGAGCAAAAGAATGGAAAAATAATGAGTAACTTGAGGAATAATTACTAAGATAATTTTCTGAGAATTTTAAAACAAAATTGGCCGCTGTGGTTCCAGTATGATGTCGAAACAGGAGTTTAATATGTCCAGGATGGTCTTCTGTGATGTTTTAGAAGAAATGGTGTTGGTTATCCTGGGTGGCGGTGTTGGTCCGATGTTCTGGAAATCCTGTCAATACTTGGTCGCAGTACTACACTTCGGATTTCAGAGTCGTTATGTCCCAGTATGTCCCATTGACGGATCTTGCTCCAATAACTAGCGTCTACCCTGGTTGACTAGGCCAGCAGGAGAGCTGATAATAATAGTAAAAAAAAAAAACACTGGTTACATAAGGTTTAAATAAGTAACTGGTAACCAGGTAAATCAGTAACAGAACAGAAATACTCCGCGTAGATCACCCTACCTGATCATGAGAAGATTGGAGTTGAAGTAATTATCCAAACTTAAAACCACACCAGGTAAGGTTAATACTACCATGAATAGAAATTTAAGCAAATCGGACCCTAGGAAACGGAAGTTTAGCCTTACCCCCCTAGATGGTAGTGCGGGCGGTAACACGCTAATAGTTCAAAGTTGTCTGAACAACCATAACGCCCTTTTTAACGACTTTTCCCTGAGACAACTCTTAAGTATAAGGGACCACGACTTAACTCTTTATGCACAAAGGGAATTGCCAACAAACTAGTTGTCCTCAAGAGAGCTCTAAAAATTTCTCAGATCTGTTCCTGATCGATCGATCAGTCCGGTAACTAGCAACAGTAGCTTGATCGATCAGTCCAGCAACTAGGAACCCTGGTCTGGGACCGGGCCGCGGTAGCGGTGACTTCCAGAGAGATTACAGACAACCTAGAGGTATTGTCATTCTACATCACAACCTTCCTTGGATTGCAACTGTAAGATTTGTTCTGGTACACAAGAACCTTCATTGTGAAGTGTATTGGGCAAGGAGCCAAGATTCAAAACATTCTCGCACAAGTGATCTCACAGTTTCGAGTTTCCTGGTTGCACGTAATCTCGTTGCCGGAATAAATAAATATATATAATAATATATAATATATTATAAATATAAATAATATATATATATATATATATATATTTTATATAATATATAATATAAATTATGTTTTATTTTTAATAGATTAAAAATTTAACTAAAAAATTTTAAAATTTTTTATTATTATAAAAATTAATATATAATACATATATTAAATTTTAAATTTATAATTTAAATAACATTATAATTTATATTTAAATAAACAATTTTTTATATAAAGGGAAAAATTTTAAAAAATTTTTATTTTTTTAATATATTTTTATAATATATAAAAAATATTTAAAATTTTATATTTTTTAAATTTAATAAATTTTTTAATATAATAAATATAATTATATATTTTTTTTAAATATAAATTAGAATTATAATTTATTATTTATATTTTCATTTTATTATAAAAAATTTTATCGGTTATGTAGTTGCTCTTATTGAGTTTCGCAAAAGTTCTTTTAAGTGGTACGAGAAGGGATTTATTTTTTTGACAATTTCCCCATCATTTAAAACCCGCAGCTGTAATCCTTAGCCGAGGGTTCTGGTCATTTAAAACCCCTTTTTGACACCCGTGTTATCCTCACCTTTAACGTGAACACTGGGCCTACTTGTTTTTAGCCTTTTTAAAGGGGAAAGAAATTGGAAAGTAGGTACATTATGACTTTGCCACACAGTAGTGCTTCTACTCAAATCAGGTTGGAACAAAACTGAAACTATAATTTTCATGTTTTCTCCCAGGCTAAAGAAAGCTTTTTTGTTTAAACAAGAGGTGAAGGGGGACTATGGCCAAGGGTATTACTCCTTTTTGTAAATTCCCTGGTTTAATTGGATAAGATTCCACTGGACTTCCACCCCAAAATTTTAAGTTGGCTTTTGTTTCAAAAACCCGTTTTACAATTTTGTAAAGACTGAAGAACCACGTTGGCAAACGTTTCAATGTTACCCAAACTGTTCAGTGGTTTACCTAAAGTCGGATTTTTTTTTTTTTGCCTAATCCCCAATAGGGCTGAAAAAGGTCACCTGGGGAAAATTCCAAACCCTGTACATCACCCGAAAGGTTAAACGCACTGTATCCCATCATTGGGGGTCCTTTTCTGATCTCACCCAAGGAAAAATCCACCTCTCTGGCTTACTGGTTTTTACCTGTGTTACCCTCTGTTAGGCCCCGAAAATAATTCGTTTTTGGGGACGTTCCTTTATAAAGTTCCTTAACTTAACAATTCCTTTTCCCGTGAGGAAAGGGAATTAAAAAGGGTCAGGTAGGAACGGGGGGGGGGGGCCGGGTGGTGAAGGTTTTATAAGGAAGGGGTCCAATGGTTTAAAACGGATCTAAACAGTGGAACTTCGGGTGAGGGCCCGATAGAACGGTGGGTAGACGGTTTTAGAACAAAAAAAAGGGGGGTAAAGGGGGCAGTGGAAGGTGGGCGGGAGGGGGAGGGGGGGAGGGGGGTAGGGAAAGGGATGGGCGGGGGGGAGGAAGGGATGGGCAGGGGGAGTAGGAAGGGGGGGCGAGGAGGGGGAGAGGGAAAGGGGTGGGCGAGGAAGGGAGGGGGGTGGAAAAGGGGGAGTGCGGGAGGGGGGAGTAGGGGAAAGGGTTTGGGCGAGGAAGGGTGGGCGAGTAGGAACGGGATGGGCGGGGAGGAAGGGGATGGGCGAGGAGGGGGCGAGTAGGAACGGGATGGGCGAGAGGAAACGGGAGGGGCGAGGAAGGACGAGTGGGGCGGAGGGCGAGAGGAACGGGGGGGCAAAGGGGGGCGAGTAGGAGCGGGAGGGGCGAGGGGGGCGAGTGGGAAAAGGGGATGGGCGAGGGGGGACGGGTAGGACGGGAGGGCGAGGAGGGGTAGTGGCGGGAGGGCGAGGAGGAGGGGTTTGGGGCGGGAGGGCGAGGAGGAAGAGAAGGGGGAGGAGGAGAGGGGCGAGGAGGAAGAGTAGGGCGGGAGGGCGAGGAGGGGGACGGGAGGGGCGAGGAGGACGGGTAGGGGGCGGGAGGGGCGAGGAACGGGTAGGGCGGGAGGGGCGGGGAAGGACGGGTAGGGCGGGAGGGGCGAGGGGGAAAGGGCGGGAGGGGCGAGGGGGAAAGAGTAGTGGCGGGAGGGGCGAGGAGGACGGGGGGGGGGGAGGAAGGAGGGGTTTATGGGGGCGAGGAGGACGAGTAGGGGGGGCGGAAGGGGCGAGGAGGATGAGTAGGGGCGGGATGGTCGGGGGCGGGAGTAGGTGAGGGACGAACAGACAAGGGATTGAGATAGGAGCAGCAGCCCGGCATTGGTCAACCAAGCTGTTGCTGCTGGAGGACCCGCTGGCTTGCATAGCGATCACGTCCTGTTTGATGGAGATACTTGTCCAGTTTCCTCTATCTCTACACTTGTCCCGTTTCATATTTTCTGTAAGATGTATAGTCTGGGACCACGGATTTGGTGGTGTTCTCTTATTGTGCCCAGGGAGCTCCTGCTTTTCACTGGATTTATTTTAAACTTCCTCCCATATCTCCTCACTCTGTTACAGCAGTGAGCAAATGTGGGTCTTGACTCTGAGGTACTTTCCACGTTCATATCATGCATCTCTCCTCTGCTCCAGCGAGTACGTATTTAGGGTTGATGTATTCTCAGTTATTTAAATGCTCTATGCGGGCCGTCAGTGATCTCTATTCCAGCTCTTGATATTTTCCCCGCCCTCAACGGAGCCGTCAGTATTGAACAATACTCCTAAACGAGGGAGCACAAGATATTTGAATAGTCATCCTTGACACTATTTTCCCAGATTTGAATGCTCTCGTCCGTCAATCATTTTCCTGGCTGTCGTAATTTGCCTTATTGCACTCTTCAAAAGAATGGTTAGTAGACATAATTACTTAGATCTTTCACATGTCCCTTTCGTGCTACTTGATGAGGGAGAGATGAGGGGTAAAGGAGGGAGGGAGGATATATTCAGAATTGAAAATGTCTTCTCCATTCCTGAGTAATGTTAAAAGAGCTTCATTAGCATTGTTCGTGATTTGTACTTGACTCGTAAATTGCAGACTCATTTGTGTAATGTTCAAGTGGTCAAACTACTACATATTTTGTGTGTAAATATATATTCTTTTATAATATTGCAAGTTTGGTAGTTGTCTAAATATTCCTAATAAGGTGTATCATTTTGTACGTGCATGCTATTATCTGTTAAGTGTTTGTAATGGTTGTTTTAATGTTGTTTTCTTTTATTCCAGTTGGGAAAACTTCGCTCATCACCAGGTTTATGTATGATTCCTTCGACAACACCTACCAGGTAAATACAAATGGCTTATATTAGTGTGCAACTCAGGGGCTGTGCTTGACTTGGTTGAATAAATAAAACGGGTGAGACTGATTTACAGTATATTCAGATCTGTCATGAATGTGTGCTGAAGACGATCTGAGAGCGACTCAAGAAATCGTAATGACACGATTGCAAATAAACCATACCCCCGGCCGGGATTGAACCCGCGGTCATAGTCTCAAAACTCCAGCCCGTCGCGTTAGCCACTAGACCAGCTAGCCACAATAAGATTCATCCAACTAGGTATATTTCTACACCATAGGAAAGTTAGCACAGGCACCTCTGTGACCACAAATGCAAGTAAAAACTTGCATGTGTGGTCACAGAGGTGCCTGTGCTAACATTCCTATGGTGTAGAAATATACCTAGTTGGATGAATCTTATTGTGGCTAGCTGGTCTAGTGGCTAACGCGACGGGCTGGAGTTTTGAGACTATGACAGCGGGTTCAATCCCGGCCGGGGGTATGGTTTATCTGAGAGCGAAATATAGCGCGCTCATACCACTGTCATTTATCTATCATGTTACCGTACGTAGACTTTTTTTCCCCTTCTTTGTGCAGTCTCTTCATTTTGCATTTACATACAACCATTTTTACAATAAAAAATACAGATTTGTTTAAATTTCTATGTATCAAGATAGAATAATTCTGAGAGAGAGATTAAAGTACAGGGCTGATGATTGCCAAACTTGTCTAATGGCAAGTTTTGTAATTGCTCAACAACTAACACACTCCTCATTAAATTTCTCATTATCTAGTCTTGCTCTATATACAAACCATTAACCTCGCATGAATTTCAGCAGTTCAGTTTGGTTATAACTTAGGGTTGGAAATATAATTAAGATGTACGATAAACCTTCACTATTTTCAGGTTTGCTAATTTTAACAGCTCACAAGATTTTCCTAATGTCCCGCGAGTTTTTAACATTTCAGAAGTTATTGGGAAAAAGTTTTTACGTATGTACAAACACTAATGCATTATAGCTGTAATTAGCCTAATTTATAAGTTATGGAATGTCGCCCCATCCAAAACATTGTGGGTTTATTATTATTATTATTAAAGATTCGCCGGTATACTCCCGGCCCGGGCCTTTTCCAAGTGGTGGCCCGGCCTTGGCTCCCTGTCTTGAGTGTGTGAGACCTAAGTCTCCCATGGGAGGAGGCACAAGTGCCTCTTCATCTTTGGGACCAACTATCCCCTGGCCTAGCCACAAGCTAGGCCTCTCTGGTCTGCCATCCCCGCCCCAAGGGGACTAATGGGAATGACAGTCTTGTGAGCTGCAAGCTTGGGCTCAGGCACCTACCCTACCCTACCCTACCCTAGAAGGGCTGGGCATGGTGTCGGTTGCCCATTGTGGGGTGTTGCAGTCGATGAGGGTATGTCTACCAGCAACCCATTCTCGTACCACCATCGTTATTCATATAATTTACAAATTTTCTCGTTAGGCTCTTCCACTTCGTTTGCAGATTTATAGTGGCCGTTTTTTATAATTTGTTTATTTGTGGTTAAATATACTTTTTATAGGTTTCTCACCTGACCTAATTTAAATATTTGCAATTTTGTTTGAAGATTTCAGGAATTGACGTAGTGAAGTGATATTAGGTTGCCGAGTACTAATTCTGGGCCGTTATGGCAAGCCCGCAGTGTCACTCCCAATCACGTACATTGATGGCTCATCCGACATCCGCAAATGTACCTTTATTGTAGTATATTTACATTACTGTATACTAGTGTATACCATGATCTTTAAGAACGCATTTCCTTGTAATATTGGGGAATTATTTCTTCTGCTCATTCAGGCATTACCCTGCAAGAAATTTGCTTATAACAATTTTCTTTTCACTTTGATACTGCAGTGATTTCGTTGAATTAACTGACAAATAACCAAGTATTTTGTTTAAATGTTAACTTTTTATTTTATATTTATTAATTCTTATCAATTTTGCGACAGTAGTACCAACTATGACCCTGCGTATGTTTCTCTGAAGTGGACTTTACGTTAACTGATAACTCTTAGCATGTTTCACTTGACTGTTTTTTATTGGGCAGTTTCCATTTGTTTCATCATGTACATTACTACTAACTTAACACTCACTCTCTCTCTGTCTCTCTCTGTCTCTCTGTCTCTCTCTCTCTCTCTCTCTCTCTCTCTCTCTCTCTCTCTCTCTCTCTCTGTTGTCTCTCTCTGTCTCTCTCTCTCTGTCTCTCTCTGTCTCTGTCTCTCCCTCGCTCTCTCCCCCTCGCTCTCTCCCCCTCGCTCTCTCCCCCTCGCTCTCTCCCCCCTCGCTCTCTCCCCCCCTCGCTCTCTCCCCCCCTCGCTCTCTCCCCCCCTCGCTCTCTCCCCCCCTCGCGCTCTCCCCCCCTCGCCCGCTCTCCCCCCCCTCCGCGCTCTCCCCCCTCTCCGCTCTCCCCCCCTCGCTCTCTCCCCCCTCGCTCTCTCCCCCCTCGCTCTCTCTCCCCCCTCGCTCTCTCTCCCCCCTCGCTCTCTCTCCCCCCTCGCTCTCTCTCCCCCCTCGCTCTCTCCCCCCTCGCTCTCTCTCCCCCCTCGCTCTCTCTCCCCCCTCGCTCTCTCTCCCCCCCCCTCGCTCTCTCTCCCCCCTCGCTCTCTCTCCCCCCTCGCTCTCTCTCCCCCCTCGCTCTCTCTCCTCCCCTCGCTCTCTCTCTCCCCCCTCGCTCTCTCTCCCCCCTCGCTCTCTCTCCCCCCTCCCCCCTCTCTCCCCCCTCGCTCTCTCTCTCTCCCCCCTCGCTCTCTCTCCTCCCTCGCTCCTCTCTCCTCCCTCGCTCTCCCCTCCTCCCTCGCTCTCTCTCCTCCCTCGCTCTCTCTCCTCCCTCGCTCTCTCTCCTCCCTCGCTCTCTCTCCTCCCTCGCTCTCTCTCCTCCCTCGCTCTCTCCCTGCCTCAGTAAGGAATCGTTCAAGACTCTACACCGTGTACGTCAGGCCCATACTGGAGTATGCAGCACCAATTTGGAACCCACATCTGGTCAAGCATGTCAAGAAATTAGAGACAGTGCAAAGGTTTGCAACAAGACTTGTTCCAGAGCTAAGGGGAATGCCCTACGAAGAAAGGTTAATCGAAATCTGCCTGACGACACTGGAGGCCAGGAGGGTTAAGGGAGACATGATGACGACATACAAAATACTGCGAGGAATTGACAAAGTGGACAGACAGGATGTTCCAGAGATGGGACACAGAAACAAGGGGCCACAATTGGAAGTTGAAGACTCAGATGAGTCAAAGGGATGTTAGGAAGTATTTCTTTAGTCATAGAGTTATCAGGAAGTGGAATAGTCTGGCAAGTGACGTAAAAAAAAAAGTCGGTACCTGACCAGCCGGGCTGTGACTCGTACGTTGGATTGCGTGCAGCCAGCAGTGACAGCCTGGTTGATCAGGCTCTGATCCACCATGACCCCTGGTCACAGACCGGGCCGCGGGGGCGTTGACCCCCGGAACTCTCTCCAGGTAAACTCCAGGTAATAGTTTTAAAACGAGGTTTGATGAAGTTCAAGGAGCATTGAGGGAGAGGACCTAGTAGTAATCAGTGAAGAGGCGGGGCAGGAGCAATGAATCGACCCCTGCAACCACAAATAGGCGAGTACACATACCTACCTTTCCTTCTATTTTCCCTCATTACTCTCCCTAATGCCGCATTTCCCTCTCCTCACAGCTTCCGCAGCAGTCTTTCCCTCTCCCTCAACTTTATCTCCCTACTCTTTTTCTGTCTTCTCTTTTTCAAATTTCATCTTTCTTTTTTCCTATCCCTGATTCTCGTGGAGTTGTGTTGATGTCCGGGGCATGTCAAATACACGCCACAGCATTCTGATTTTCTGGCCCCAGTATAAGTTTTTGTAATGGGGAAAGTGGAAGTCCCGTTAGCTCTACAGACGCGTAGCAAATTTTAAAGGGTTCTTAAATACGTCAATATATCTGCCCTAACTCGACACTGTAATTGTAGCTGAGACGAATTTGCAGACTAAAAGTAAAATGGTCACATTTCAGGATATCTGCTTATAGGCACTACGGCTCCCTCCCCTATGTGCACTGTGCGCGCCATTGACTGTGAACCACAATTTAAAAACTTGTATTAGGCTTCATCCTACCATTTTCTTTTTGCATGGTATTTGAGATCTGGCATACCCGTACAGAGCTCATGGGCATTTTAGATTAAACTTTTTAACTGATAAGATGCTCTAATGCAGCAGTTCTTTACCGGGGGGGGGGGGGGTGGAAGACTCGCACCAACCTAAAGCAAAGAATAAGTAATGAATGCAGTTGTGTGTAATTGCTATCTGCTCCTTAAACACTCTTGAATAATTAAAAATAGTGAAGTTAAGAAGGTTGGTAGACAGCAACCACCCAGGAAGGTACTGCCGTCCTGCCAAGTGAGTGTGAAACAAACCTGTAACTGTTTTACATGATGGTAGGATTGCTGGTGTTTTTTCTGTCTCAAAAACACGCTGGATAACAGGTATATCTTGCTACTTCTGCTTACTCAGATCACACTACACAGGCATGCACAAGTATATATATAATACACACATCTAGGTTTTTCTTTTTAATTAATAGTTCTTGTTCTTCTTTATTCCCCTCTTTCTCCATGGGGAAGTGGAAAAGAATCTTTCCTCCGTAAGCCATGCGTGTTGTATAAGGTGACTAAAATGCCAGGAGCATTGGGCTAGTAACACCTTCTCCTGTAGAAAATACTGAGAGAGAGAAGATTAAAATCTTTATGAACCTGGGATGCTGGAATGTGCGTGGATGTAGTGCGGATGATGAGATAATTGCTAATGTTATGAATGAAAAGAAGTTGGATGTCCTGGCTCTAAGCAAAACAAAGCTGAAAGGGGTAGGCGAGTTTCAGTGGGGAGAAATAAATGGGATTAAGTCAGGAGTATCTGAGAGAGTTAGAGTAAGGAAGGGGAGCAATAATGTTTAAGGATCATTAGGAAGGGGGAAGAGGGAATATAATTT